AAATTAGTCAATGGAATTGAACAAATAACCTTGACATTTCCATTGATATGTTTACAAAGTTTTACCATTTATTTGTCTAGTAATATTCAATTTGTTGTATCAAATGTGATTGTCGATAAAAGTTTTGTAAAGAGACGACGAGCCAATCAGAATGGATAACGAAGATTTTCGACTTTTATGAAACATTCAAATAACACATCTGATGATTAGGAGATAGAATAAATGTATGTGAATTTGTGACGAATTCAACTGTCAATGTTCAATACTGTAAACAATATTTAGTATTGTTCTGTTCATTTGGTGGGAAAATGCTACATCTATTCAGTGGATAATTCATTTCAAGCTATTTAGTTGAGTGTACTTGCTTCCCTTAGTTGATGTTCATTACACGACTCCACTGTAGTACCATTCATTTCAAACGCTAACACGTTATCCGTTTAGCTGCTGATTGAATGTAGTCACTGACTTGTACAACCGATTGAAGTTGAATGAATTTGTATTGGTTGTTAGAATCTTCCCATTGATATTTAGGAACAGTCAACCTGTGCCAGTAGCTTCAATACTGACATTAAGTCACATTTTAAACTCCAAATTTCATTCGGTCCACCTTTTTTTATTCAGTAATTATGAGATACATTGCTGTAATGAATTTATTATTAAAAGTTTTTTAGATTATAATAAATTTTCTTATTGAAAAAAGGTTTGTCACAATAAAATAGATTTCACAATAAACCGTTTTACATGAATATACTTACGTGCAAATCAATAATGATGTGTAACTATTTTTCTATGGAACTAAGATCGTTATTAATAGAGTTATGGAGATTGTTGTTTTACATTGGAATCATGAACCAATGATTATTAGACCACCATTAGAAACCTTGAAGCACTGGTTGGTCATTTCGTCCTAGGGTGAGACTCTTCAATAGTGCACATTCACGACCAAACCCAGGAGCATTCCGATTTAAAACAACAATCTCCATAGCTCTATAATGAAAAATCATAAAATGTGCTTACTAGTAACTAGTTTCGTGAGGAGATTCCCAGAGTTTCAGTGAGAAACTGTGACCAATTGGTTTCAACCATGTCAAGTATCGGTAGCGGATACCGAAGACAGTGTATGACGCTGCTTGAAATCCTTAGATTGATCGAAGTTGGACAATAACAGCACCGGATACTACCGGCTCAGCAGTTCAGCGCGGATGCGCACTGATGAAGGGTCTCATACTAGGACGCAACGGCAGTCCAAGGCTTCCAGGTTTCTAATGGTGGTCTAACAACGATTGATTCATTGTTCCAATGACACGAAGATCGCAAAATCAGCAGTAAAATCTTGTCAAACTAGCAATCTTTTTCAATTCACTAGATTGGAACAAGTTTCATTAACCCGCCTGAGTTATACTTTCATATTCAACAAAATAGTTTACCGATCCTCTTCAAGGTCAAGCACAATGCATGCGCATCAATCAATTGAACGTTGTGGACAGGTGTATGAGGTAGTGGTTACACTCAGTACTTCTGTTTACTGTTAATACTAAAATGTTCTGTTGCCTACTGGGATTATTTGTTTTAGCCAATCACTTGATTATCGTGATAACAAAATCCAGACAAGGAGTAAGCACGAGGCGTGACTTTGACATAAGTGTTATGCTCGTCAGTTGATATGCTTTAAACCATTACGAGTTCACCTTAGTCGGTAAACGAGAGCGAAGACAAATGATCCAATGACACGATAGGCTACTGTAATCCGAGCATCCCAAGGCCCCAATAAGTAGAATAAGAAGTCTTGATATGGCATAGATAGTGTATTTTACCAGCACCCAGAAAATAGGAGGTTTTGTTATACAGTTAATACGACCGTGAATACTAAACAATAGAAAAAAACATTTGAAGTATGTGAACTTGATAGTTAGGACGACCTTAAATACTGACCAATAGAATTAGACTTACAAAATAATTTCTTTAGGATAATTGATGAGTATCCTAACAATAAGCTAGGAGGTCACACCACTCCTGTTAATCTCAACTAGGCCCCTTAACCATTGACACGGACCACATACATTGGTGATCGACGAATATATTTTAACGGTACAAATACGAACTCTCATGTAACAATTAAATCAGTCTAGTAGTTTGATAAACAATGAAAGATTATTCTTTTCGAATTGATGATTATTGAAAGTTTTCAAAAATTATGTTCTTATGTGTGAAAGAAAATGAGAATAATTGTAGTTCAGTTTTTTTTTCATCCCTAATCACATTTTCCTGTTTCGTTGTTACATTATCGCAGTGTTCTTTTCTAATTTTGAAATTTTATTTTTATCACAAACTAAAATTAACCAAATGATATTTATCAGTGATCATTACTTGTTTATCATATTTATTTCATTAGGTAACAATTGAATTTCATTACAATGTTTATTCATTAAAACAGTTTAATCAATGTTCAAGAAACTGTCATCTATTTAGTTATGATTTTTCAAAAGAATAATTTATATCAGCTGTCTGTATAAATGCTTCAGATTATATTTGAATTTCAGAATTTTACGGATAGTAGTAAGCAGTGAGTGTGTTAAAAACTAAAAAATATCAGATTTAAAGTTTATCGTTTCAGTATTTTGCTCAGGTCATTTTTGTTGAATCATTCATCTTTTAGATCTATTCAAAAATAAAGTACATCAAAACATTACTTGATTTGCATGCTTCCAAATAAGTCAAGCTCCAATTCTTTGAAATAATAATCGTAAATCAATCATTGTTAGATCACCATTAGAAACCCGGATAAAACTGGAAGGCTGTTTCGTCCTGATACGGGATTCATCAGTAGTGTGTGCATTCACGACCAAGATATTCAGTCTCGAAATGCGAATGCTTAACGTCTAGATCACTAATCCGGCATCCAATTGTATTAATATCTAATCTCATTTAATTCAATGTATTGTGCATCCTTACCTATTATCATCGAAGGGTAACTATCTCACACCCAACAGAGTTGAACTCTACTGGTAACAAATTCTCATTAGAACTTCGAGAATCCTCTCGTGAGCACCTTTTTATGATCTTCATTATTAGTGAAAAAGCTTCAATTCATTGTATATTCTCTGTGTTTCACATGATTTTCTCTGTCGTCTACAGCTTGAATTCATTCAATAAAGTTTGATTAATTTAATTTGATAATCACACTGTAATTTTAAAATTCTTCCTAATTTTGTAGTCTATTGTCTGTTGATGAGAAAGAATTCTTGATTCTACAAATTTACGTCTTTCTTCAGTCGTTTACATTTATTAACAGATCCATTCGTATGAAACTGTGATATTCACACTCCGATCTATTTCTTTCACTGTTTTATTTATACTAATATACTAAACAAAATGGAAACTGAAAATTGCTATCTCAGTGATTCATGTATGTTACACATTTTTCAATAGAGATTAATCATTCATAGTTTTCATTATGACAAACAACTGACAGTATTCTCATACTAGTTTGAACAAGTCAATGATTTCTTTGACTTTTTGAAGCTGATTGAATAACCAATGGACATTTGATTTGTTAAGGTAGAGTCTCTGTGGAGTTTCTTTTTTATAGACATCGATATTATGATGTAAACACGTCTAACTGGAAGAGGAAAAAGTGTTTTTCGATTTCATTACAAGTCTACAATTGAAATACTTACCAAACAAGTCCATTGTTTCTGTTTTAAAATAGTGAATACTGTTATCGTTTCTTTATAAGGTCTGAATAGTAAATATTCGTCAGAATAACATAGAATTGCACTATGTTCTATAGGAGAATAATTTATTCGTCTGACTAAAGTTTTTATAGAAAAAAATTCTAGTCTAAACTTATTCAATATATTGTCGAAAATCGAATTTTTATGCATTTTGATCTAGTGAATGAGATGATCAGAAGTAGCCCGTATGAAATAGCAGTTTCAGGACGAATACATATCGTTGGTGAATAAATGGAATCATTTTCTAAAGGAACGGAATGTATTTATATTTAAACAAGTTTTTGTTTATATGATTTGGCAATCAAATAAACTTTCTATTTCACTATTGCTTTATCCTCCAATTAGTCACTTTTACTGGGATTAGTCTGTATAGCGTTCAGGTCTGGGACACCACAGATCATCATCATAATGTATTCAAACTTCCTACCTACTTTTAGTCTTTACGCTCTACATGAGGAATTAGAGAAGCATAAGAAAGTACTGCTAACTTCACAATAAAATGTTTTCAAAGTCTACAGATTTCATTGAAATAATGAATCAGTTATTATTAGACTATTATTACAAACCTGGAATTACTGAACAGCCATTTCGTCCTAGTATGTGATTCATCAGCAGTGCGCACTTATGAACTTCATTCTCAGGAAGTGAATCTAAGACCTTCGGTTTCTTGCATGAACGCTTAACCTGTAGACCACTGATCTGGCATCCAGCTATGCGCATCCACAACTTCTACATTCGAGAATCTTACCAAGAACCGACGGTTTCACGTGCAGACTCCTTATCTCTCTATTACCATTTAGGTTGCATTAAAAAATGATGTTAATGTTCAACTTCAAACATTTTATTTTGTCCAGATTTTCATTCATTGAATCATGAACTAAGTAACATATTATTATATAAATAATTTATAGATACATATAGATAAACAAATTTTTTTCAATTTTTATGAATAAATATTAATATTTTTTTATCCAAAAATTTGCTATACAGTATTTAGAATTGCTTTATGCATTTGTAAATGTTTCCTGCTGTATTACTTTATATTTTTCATTTAAACGATCATTGTTTTCAGTGTGAATAAAACTGACTTGTTGATAATTGATCATTGAATATTGATGCCTGTAACAAGAATTGAATATTGAATGTATTCTTTTTAGTGAGTGATTTCATTTCGAAATATATATATATATAGTGCACAGATTATTCTTATTTTTTTTCCCCATACTATCAAATGTCTTCTTGGAATGTTTTTGGAAATTTTTTATTTTAGTTATTTGTAGTATTGGTTGTATTGATCAATGTTAAATTTCTTTCAACTGATTTTTTACATTGAATATAGTATGGTTTATCTAAATGATAAAGTCGTGAATGTCTTTGTAATGGATGTATATCTGAAGTTTTACGCAGAATTGTAGTTTCAGTATTACTACTACTGCTACCACTACTGGTGTTACTTTGAGCAACATCAGTAATATGACAAACATCAGGTATGACAGATGTACTAAAATGTCTTGGTTGCCTACAATCCATTGACCGCCCAATCTTCTCATTATTCATTGCATTCGTTTCAACCGATATTCCATAAGTTGACTGTAATATCCCATGAGCTTCAGACCATGATAAACCATATAGATCTTCGTTAAATAATGCAACACTATGTATGATGTAATATTTGAATTTTTTCGAAATATTTGCCGCCTTACGTAATAACAATTGAGAGAAACTATATTTCCTGCGTTGTTTTGTATTGATGATTGGCTTAGAAGTGCAGTCGTCATCATCGTCATCATCATCATATGTGGAAGATGTTGTGTGGTTTTTTGAATGTTTCATCGGATCAACATGATTATTATCATGATTGTCTGTTAGAACAAGGGTTGAATAAGTTTTTCTTAATTTATTCAATTGATTACATGATTTTACATCTTGTTTATTATTTTGTGAATATTTTCTTGATTTATATGTCATTGAATACATTTTTTTTCTATTTGATTTACTATCATCCACTGAAAATTATATTCATCGACGCATTTTCCGTCCGTTTTTATTAATAAATCCCTTTTTTTAAATATGTTAATCACTGCATATAATATTATGGGTTAATTCTAATTTAAACAAAACAAAAAACCCGCTGAAATTGTTCAAAAGTAAAATAATTTTGGAAAATTATTATGATATTGTAAAAAAAAATTGATACTATAATGAATGTTGATTAGAAAATGTTTGTTTGTTTTTTATCTGTTTTCGTTCATTGCTGTAATTGGTAAATTTGGAAAACCGACTGTTTGCATACATTATTATATTTAAACAAACAACTGCCTTGTGATTGGTTAATTTAAAAGTTTCATATATATTTTATCATTATCGAATATGTTAGGCAATTTTTGAATGAACCATACAAAATTGTATACGAATTCCATTGTAGACATCATATATTGATTATATCGTAAATAAATAAGAAAAAAAAAAGTAAACTAATGTTTGAAATATCATTATATATGTAATCTTTGTTTCTTCATTTGTATTGAATTTTCTAACTGATAGTTAGGACTGCTGAAATTGATCGATGCCATATTTGGAAATATGTACGTACATCCTGTACAGATTACCGTAGGTTAGAAGTATTATAAACGCAGATGGATATTTAATGGCAAACATTGGGATTCATGACGTGTGTTTCATCCTTCTCTGAGACTTGTCAACTGAATATACCTTCATGTCGAAGTTGGTGGTTGTTTCGGCAGATGAACTCAGCACTGTTTACTTGCTTTAAACGTCTAGTACTGTATTTAATGGTGAACGACACTGAATGCAAGTTTTGAAGTCAATATTAACTATGAGATTTAGATATTTCCAGTTGATAAGTTTCAAATAAGACGAAATGAATGTCCTGGATTGCAAAGTTAGCCGTTATTTATCTCTACTTTTAATCTCTTTGTTTAATGCATTTATTGAAAAAAGTTGTCAAATATTACAATCGCTTTTAATTATCTATTTTTTAATTGCAAAATAAATATATTACTGATATCGATCGTTGTTAGACAACCATTAGAAACCTGGAAGCAATGGATGACCATTTCTTTCTAGTATGGGATTTTTATCAACAGTGCACATTCACAATGACAGCTCACGAGAACCAAACCTAGAACACTTTGTCTCACACGCACAAATGCTTAACCTCTAGACCACTGAGCCGGCGGCATTCAACAGCGTTAATGTTTAATTTCATTCAACCCAAGATATTGCGCAACCTCACTCATTGCCTAAATTCAACAGGGTTAGACTTGATCGGTCACGGCTTCCCATTGGAACTCCTGGAATTTCCTCGCGAAGCTAGTAGCTAGTGTGCACAATTTTATGATTAAAATTACGAAAAAGGCTTGTTTTTATTTTAATGAGACTGTGAAAAGTATGTTTTACTCTAGTTATTCTACATACCAGGTGATTTGCGAATATTAGTTTAAACAAGCGATCATTGCTGTCAATTAAATATATATATATTTCTTCGAGAATCATTGATGACTGGTTGCTACTTTATATGGGCTGAGAGATTCCTTTTAGCCAATAAATTGTAAACCATGACGAAACATTTGTTAATTTGTCTCTAATTTACAACGCTGGTGTCAGGTACCTCTGTGGTAGTTACGTCACAATATAGAGCTGTACTGTTCACGTGGTAGTGTTGTTGGGGTCGTTAGATCACCAGAACTCGCTTGATAAATGCCCTAACTTTGAATACCTTGAGATCACATTTCCCGCCAGGAAAATCCTTGGCTGTGATTGGTTGATGTGTAATTTTAGTGTGCAGCTACTATTGTGACTGTCCCAAGGACGTTTCTATGATCTATAAATAAACGCGATTTGTGTGCTTGAGATCATTATATGTTTGTAGAATACACTTTTTACGCCATATCAAGATTTTTTCTTCAGTTAGTTGAGTCAATGGTTCAGAATAGCCTACCGTGTCACTGGTTCATTGTCTCGTTCTCGTTTCTAGACTAAGGTAAACTAGTAATAGCTTCAAGCATATCAAGTGACGACCATAACATATGTTAACACGTTGGTTCTCCTGAAAATCAATGTAAAATTATGCTTACCAACATCGTTCACATATTCCTTATATAATTCGATGTGTCTAATTGAACGTAATCATCAATTAGATCCTATCAAGGCCAATAGACTAATTAAATGTTAGGTTTAGTTGAGTATGTGAGGAACTACAGTGAAATTGACACATAGCACAGTACTATTGTGCATTATAATATTATGGAGACCGATTGGTTATACACATTGAAATCGTGAATGAAGCAACATGATGTGGGGTCCATTTATCTGCGTGTTCGGATAGCTCGGTAATTAGCTCGTCTAGACAATCTTCACTAAGTAGCGTCTGACGGTTTATAAATCAGAACGCGAATTCGAAGTATGAATACGTTTATATTTTGGACACACCACATAGCGAAGTTGAAAAGCAGCGAAAGAATGAGCAAAGGAACAGGCGAAGCGCGTTGGAGAAGGCTAATGAGCCAACTCAAAGAAATAGAGCATGACTAAGAATACAAAGTCAGACAAATATAAGACAGACATGCAACAAGCGAAATAGGCACACATGAATAAAAGCGACGAATGATTGACAAGGTCAAATGACAAGTGGGACATGTCATGTGAGCTCATACAAACCAGACAATAATAAGAACGAATGGTACATATAAATTGTTGCTATACAAATGGCTTGGTTAAATAAATTAATCGAAAGGGCTTAACCAAGTTAGATGTAAGCGAACTGGAATATATGTGGAGGCACTACAAGATCATGAGTCAATCATTGATAGACCACCATCAGAAACCTGGAAGCACTGCATGACCGTTTCGTCCTGGTATGGGACTCATCAGCGGTGCGCATCGGCGACTCCTGCACCTCGCAGTATTCAAACCCAATACATTCGGCCTTGCGCATGAACGACTAACGTCTGAACCACTAGGCTAGCATCCAAAGGTGGTTATATCTAACTCTAATCGTTCTAGAGATTTCGCGTGACTTCACTCAATCGTCTTTGGTAGTTACTGCATACACCCGACATGGTTGAATTCCACTGGTTACATCTCCTCACTAGAACTCCTAGCTAGAATTTCCTCACAAACCTAGTCACTAGTAGATGCGCACTGCTGATCAGTCCCATATCAGGACGAAACGGCCGTCCAGTGCTTTGAGGTTCCTAATAGTCTAGCGATGATTGATTGATGATTTCAATGTGTAAAAACACTAATCTCGATAACTCTAATTGAAAATTATTATTATTATTGTTACAGTTAAGATGATTCAATGAAAATGGAATAAAAACAGTGTCGTCAGTATAGGGAACCAATCAGAGGTTGGCGAATAAGAAGGTCACTCACAACTTAAATAACTCTGTGATAATAATAGATCTCTAACTGTAACGTCAGGTGATGCAATTGCATGGAAAATATTCATTCTCTCTAATATTATAATGACTTTCTTATTTTTCTTTGATGTCATCTAATACTGTGTTTACATTGAATGTTTGAATAAAATTTGTATACAGAAAACCAATGTGATGTAGTAGTCATTTCTTGATTTGCCATTTTTATTGTTATTTTATTCAAATCACGAACTGGTCGTAGCCAGATCACCATTACAGACCTGGAAACACTTGGTTACCGTTTCATTCAAGTACGGGACTTATTAGCTGCGTGTATCCACGACCTCCGCTCATAAGAATCCAACCCAGGGCTTTCGGTCTCGGGCGAGAAGGCTGAACCTGCTGATCACTGAGTCAACATCCGATGCTATTTATATCTAACTTGAAACAATCCATAATATTGAGTGATTGTTATCTCTCTTACAGAGTCATGGATGCGTACGCAGTGTTAATGAGTCCCATAGTGGGAAGAAATGCAAATTCAGAGTTTCTAGCTGTCTCATTGGTGGTCTAACATTGATCAGTTCATGATCTCAATAAACTTATTGTTTTTTTCTTATGAAAAGTTTGTTAGATCATGTGATCTTATCTTAAAACATTTTTTTTATTTTTCATGTTTGCAGATATGTACTTTTAACATTTACCTATTCATGAAAAGTCTAGAATTTGGAAAATATTTTGGTCTAGACATATTTATTGACAATTGAACTACACATAAAACTGATAACATTTGAAAGAGGGTTGCGTTGTTTTTTTATATTTTACGTTATTCGTACGTTTAACTATGTTCACATAGAATAATGTACGGAAAAGATGTAGATTACATATGAACTACATATGATGTGTATTAGCGTAATACATTTCAAACAATCTAATCACACATCTACTAATTGTTAAGACGATTTATATACGAAAAATATTAAAGGTCAACTAGACATGATGGAGTAGTATAAGGTTAAGGCAGAAACACACCATCTGGATTAATAACACAATATTGTTAAAATCGGTTTCAGAGTGACAAGAAATATGTTTCTGTATACGTAAAGGAGGCTTCAGCTTTCGTATCATCAAAGTTTTACTAAACCTTAGTATACATTCTTGAATACTTTTATACAACAACACAACAAAAGTTGAATTAAGATCAATCAGTCTTATGATCTGCCTTGAATATGTTGTGTTTATCGATAGACAGCGATGGATATTTATCATCTACTCGTACTGGGTCATATATTTTTTTGTAGTTATTTCGGTACATGTTCAATCACCCTAATTTTTTAAGTCACGGTTACTCCTCCCACACACACACACACACAAATAAACTGATAAGCTGAGTGGGATGTGTTACAGTCGTTTATATGCTTTTTAGGTTTTCAATAAAGCATGAACATTGTTTTTTTTTTCATGCGTGGTACGTTTTACTGATAACAGATATGAGCGTTTCTCTCAATATAATAAGGCTATTTGACTCGCTTCTGAACAGTAAACTGATATAAACAGGATTTTCTATGCTAACGATGTAATTGATCTTACTATACT